CTGACCTACTCTGATTATTCTGTTGTTGTTATTGCATGGGCACATGATTAGAAATTAGCACAACTCCTAAAGACTGGTTACAGTCGCCTCTGGCATGACCCTTCTGACCATAAACAACATTTGTTTCTTTCTTTCTGTTGAATTTATTCTTCACAGTACTTGAAGATGCATCCATTTGAATTTTTCTGCTTTGAATACCATTTTCGACACGCTCACCTGTTAATATCAATTCGGTAAAACCATATGAAGAACTTCCGATCAAATGATTAAAGAAAGACCCTGTCAATGTGCCCATGAACATATCAACCAACTCCCTATCAGACAGAGAAGGTTGAACTCTTCCATCCAGATCTCTCCATTTCTAGGCATATTCTTTAAACCCTTCATTCGAGCCCATAGTCATACTTTGTAGTTTCACATGAGTTGGTGCAAGTTCAACATTATATTGATATTTCTTGTAAAAAGAAATGGCCATGTATTCCCAAGTACGTATATTGGTTCCTTCCAACTGATAGAACCATTCTAGTTGTTTCTCTGATAAGCTCTCTTGAAAAAAGTGAACCCATAACTTTCTGTCAGCAGTATGGGTTGGATCTTTTGGACATAAGAACTCAGATGAAGCTTAGGATAGGAAACACCGTCATATTTATAAAAAGTAGGGATCTTGAATTTGTGATGGATAACAACCCCCGAAATAAGACGCAACTCTTCAAAATCCAACCCAGGTACTCTCTGGATTTCCATAGCGTTGAGACGATCTTCCAGTTGTTTGTATCTATCATAGGCAGGAGGATATTGCTCATCATAATAGTCCTCTTCATAATCTTGGCCAGCCTCAAGGTTACTTTCTCTCTCAGCCTTCACACTCTTAACTTTTTCACCCTGATTGTAATCTTCATCAGAGGGAATATCACAGCTCTGAGCTTGTTTAGGAGGACCTTTAAACCTTCTTCCCATGTTGAGTATACCAGCTGGTTTCCTAGTATTTTTCTTCTTGGCGATGAGCGCCATCAGTTCTTTCTGCCCCTTGGCTAAGTTCAGGAGCGTCTCTTGGAATTAGGAATTTTGAGCTTGAAGGTCTTTTACGGTTTGTTCGAGAGCCATCTTTTACTGAAATAAATAGTAAGAAGATGAGAAAACCTGTCTCGGAAACCTTTATGATATGATGTGCATGATATGTGGATGCAATGTTTTCAAGGATCTCGTGAGATTTAAATTTGTTAAACAAAAATGAAACAAAGAAAATTAGCATTAAGTTTAAACTATGATTGCCTTCTAGGCTTACAATGAAACCAAGAGAGTTAAATTATAAAAATCCTGAGGCCTAAGGTATTAAGTCTCCCATGGACGCTTCCTCTTTGTGTTGACATATGCATTAAGGCTCTGCTCTTCATGGAGTTGTTTTGTCAGCTCCAGTACTTTCTTATCACTATCATAGAACTGAGTCTCAAAGGTATCCCTTTCTCCCTTGAGTTGAATCCAGTACTTTCGTAGTTCTTCAAAGTCGGTAAGCATATCAGGATGAAGAATGGTATGACAAACATCTCCTTTAACAACAAGCTTTACAATCACTGGTAGGATAGCAGGATATGGAATCATAAGATTTTGAGCACGAGATCGCAACTATCTGAGGTAAGGCTCTAGAGCAATGGAATTCTTATGCCCCAAAGTCTTGCTATCGATCTTATTGATCATGCCCCCAAGCACGTATAAACCTTTGATGGTAACTTTGAGGATTGTTCTCATAGTCGAATATTATACCTTGGATGAGCATATCATGAGGGTCGTCTCTTCGAGCATAACCAAATTGATGTAGAGCTAGGGAAGGGTTGTAAGTAATACCTCCCCTTATGCCAAGGAGTGGCACGTTAGGGAATTTCCCACAATGGTCAATAATAGTGATGTTCTCTTGAGCTTGGGGACACCAATGAATATCTGAATGAGCGAGCGACATCAATCTCTAAGACCACCTAAAGCCTCGTTCATTCTTAATTACTGATCGGGGGAGCTGCTAAATAAACCACCTGGAAAGTAGAGGTATGCAACACATGAGAGTTCCTCGCTTCCTCATAGTACGAGTGTGAAGAGAATGTAGAATATCTCCAAGCAAAGTAGGTACAAGATTATGGGTAAGAAATATTTTTATAGAGTTCACATCTATGAGTTGGTCCGCATTAGGGAACAACACAAAACCATAGATAAGAAAAGCCAAAATATCTTCAAAATCACAAATACTCAAGGCATCTAGGAACAACTGAACCAATTGATAATCTGGGAAGGTAAAACAATGATGCTTAGGATCAAAGAACTAGAATAGAACACTCATCATGTCTTCTTTGAAACAGGGAGTAACCAAAATGAGTATATGGCCATATATTTTGGTGAATTGAGAATTTTCGGGGACCTTTGAGACTAACTCCTCAAGTTTGGAAGGTATCCTTACAAAGTTGATTCAGATAGTGTTTCCGCGATCGGAAGCCATGACCTGCAACAAAGGACAAAGATAAATCCATAGATCCTTGAAAGGGTTAGTGAAAATGTTATGATGTCATGATGTTATGTTTATGTCTAGACAATAAGTAAACACAAACAAATCACACAAGAGCCTTAGGTTTAAAGGCTTGCATGAGGTTCGTAGGTAAGTACCATTTTGCTCAAAATTTCCCAACGTTCCCTAGTCATAACTCTCTAAATTTTTATCATTTGAAGGTGATCTTGGACTTTTTGTAAAGATCAAGATGTCCTCTACAATCTATATGTTGACCATTTTTACATTTGAAGATTTATCTTTGTGTAAGCTGCCTTGACAAAAAATGTCTTTTTGTTGACTTTTGACATGACCTATAATGTATGGGCCCATATCTCTCAAATGAAGCATTGTTTGGACTTGAGCTTAGAGAGACAAAGTTATAAAGAATTGAATTTCCTTAAAAATAAGCTTTGGTTGAGGAAAATATGATGAAGCATGTGAAAGTTATGCTTGGTCAAAGTTCAGTTGACTTCTCCTTAGGAAAACCCTAATTTGAAAACTTTTGACTTTTGATGATTTGAGAGTTGTTTTTGATGAATCATGATCAAACCATGATAAAATGATTAATATCACTTCAAAATATTGATGTTGACAAAAAATATTGAGTTTTGACTATATGTTGACCATAGTTGACTTTTTGCCTAATGTAGTTGATTTTCAATCATTTGAGCCATTAACTGAGCAAACTTGTGATGCAAAGCATGAAACTTGGTATGTGCATTCTTGGAAGCATATAAGAGACCATGAAATCCACTTTAGACCTTAGAAACTAAATATTTACTTAAGAAACACAAAACCCTAGTTGTAGTTCAATTGCTTAGGAAGATAATTTATCTGATCAATTCTTGAGCAACCTTGGGCATTTGAGAACCCTAGGAGAACTTCTTGAATAAAAATGAGAGTGAAAATTTTGGGGTACAACAATGATAAAGTTAATAAATGAACGAGCCATGTTTCTCAACTAAAAAAGGGAGTAAGAAATAGAAAAAAACAACACAATAAACTTCACACTTTTGATGTCCCACGATTCTACTAGTTTAGAAACTCAGGGGAGGGACAGGGGTCGCTAGGTCAGAAAAGCAATAACTAAAAATTCTCCCCAAGTAGGATTTGAACCTACGACCAGTTAGTAAACAGCCAACCGCTCTACCACTGAGCTATTGAGGAGCAACTAACTTAAGTTAAGGAATCTGACTCTCCTTCTTTGGGCACCAACCTATAACCAAACAAAAAAAGATTCTTCAGTCTTTTTCACATACACCAGAAGAAAAGGTTACGATATCAATACCCTCCTCGGTCAGAGAGCCTCTAGGACAAGGGGGCGGCGGTCAACCATTTACTCTCGAGATTCATTTTGATCAATCGATCTCTGCGTCCTACCAGTTCTCTAAGTATATTCACTCCCCCGAGGAGCAACAATTGAACTATTCCTGCCAAAAACAAGGGACCTACTTATCATCCTAGGAGTTAGCTGGTATGATTGCCTCTCTGTCTGTCTCTCTGAGTTTATACTACTAAGTAGCACTTCTGCTATTTAATCATAGAATAGATTTCGATCAAGCTAAAATATGAAAGAAAAAAGCCCTGTATTATTGAAATTTTAGTAAGCTAACATCATGCAATCAAAAAATAGAGCTAATGAGCAAGAAAAGGCCCCTTACTATAGTATAGATAGGCTAAGGTTTAAAGCCTCTCAACCCAAACAAGCAAAGACAAGCCCCTATCATAGATAGCCTTGGTCAAGTTCACTAGCGCACTTGACTTGGAGGTTCGTTCATCCTCTTGCTGGGAGAACTTTCTCAAAGTCAACTTTCTCGCTTGTTAGTCAATCTTTGAAGCCCCTACTTTCTTGATGGTTGGGATATTAAAAGAAGCGCTGGTTTGGAAAGGAACCCTAGACAAGGAGATTTTCCCTAACCTTTATATACAAGGTGATGGTCTCAGTCTCGCTTGGGGGTGCCCCTCTCGATGATTGTTGACTTAACATTTATTTTGTGCTTGATTTGAATGGAACTCCCTCTATCGAGTCAAGTAATTCGCTATTGGAAATTTAGCCGCCGTGTATCTCATGCCATTCTTATTGTTTCTCCGAATCAGTTCCATCTGTTAGTGAATCAAGATTCTCCATCGAGAGAGGGAAGAGCCTTGACTTTCATTTAGGTTGGTCTCGTCATTCATGTAATTCCCTCATCCATCGATCAATCACGCGAGCATCTAGTCAGCACATAGCGAACGAAAAGTTAATCCTGGATTATCTTCCTCAATAAAATGTCTATCAATTGATACCTATTCATTCGGTCAAAGTCTCCATGATGTTTTCACGCCCCTCTACTTATAGGTGCACCATGTTGATAGGATTCGGCAAAGACCTTCTTGTAGATGTCCTAGAGGGCTGCATTCATGGAAATCATCACTAGTTCATCCTGATGGCATGGTATGGCTTTGTTCTTGGTGTTGTTTAATAGAATAGATGTCGATTGTCACTTTTTCCCATCCGAGAATCTCCATCTACTCTAATTGGGCGAGCTATAATCCTTATGTCAGGTTGGTTGTTCAAAAGATATTTTATATTTACCCTTCATCTTTTTGAAAACTTGGACCCATTCTTCCGGATCTTTCTTAGTCCTAGGTGCAAAGCCTTTTCAAGAAAGACCTATTTCTTTATCCTCCATTTATCATTTTTTTAGGGAATAAGCGTTATCCATTGAGTAAAGGGAGGTTTCCTACACTATAGTGATTCAGGTGGTTGATGGCCCACTCAAGAGTTACAAATCCTTGTGGTTGCATGAGTGGTAGCTCACTCTCAAAACTCCTCCGACACGAGTCCTAGTCGTTGTGCTGCGGTCTATCTCTCGGCTTCGCTTGCAAGATTTTTTGCACTTATTTTATTATTTGTTTAATCCATCCCGACCCTAATGAATCCAGTATGTATGAAGGGGTCAGTCAAGCGGTTCTGTTCGCCTTCCCCTCCTCATAGTCCATTAGTTGGTAGGTGGTCAACTTAGAAGGCGCTCGCCTCCTCTTCAGATGTGTCTTCGACAACCTGGAGGTTGTTCGGTCTCTGCTTTTGGAGGCGGGAGTTCTTGGTCGTTGGGGTTTCCTTTTCCTCAACCAATTCGGCTGTGTCAGCCCTGAGATTGGTTGGTCTAACATTTATGAGCAGGCTGGTTGGAAAAAGATGGATGGAAGGTAATATAAATTTGAGTTCAGGTGGCACAAGACCTTCGATTGACCATGAGGCGTATTCTACCCTTACCGAATTAATTATATTGAAGCATAATTTAAAACCTCTCATGTTGCATTTATTTGGTTTGGAAGTTCCAGAATGTTTTCTGTGGATTTCTAACAAAGGAAATCCCCCCTTTTGTTTATGCCATTTAATTAATGAAAGTTCTGTGTTGCTCGCCACTCCTCGAGGCCAAGGACGGGGTCAAACCGTCATTCCAGGATTTGTAGTCTGATACATTTCCATTATGTTACCCAACAAACCCTCCACCTCGTATTCCAAATCAAACAATTGTTCTTCCTTCCCTGCTTCCTATTTTTCTACATATGCGGTGGCGGGTGGAGCACTCGATATGACCGGCAGCGTGTTACCAAAGAAGAGGGAATAACTTATTTCTCCATTGCCTTGATCCATTTTCCTTTTCTAATTTTTAGTAGCAAGCAACTCCACTACTGGTACAGAGGCCTAAAGTTTGCTTCCTCCATATGTTAAGGCAAAGAACATCTAGAAGCTAGCTTTTGTCTTGTAAGCTACCATGCCTAATAATAATAATATAATCAAATTTTGCTTACCAAAGCAAAGTGGTATAACTAAGAAAAAAGTAAATAAGCAACCAATTCCATTCCAAGTAACATGGCTTTTCATTATTCCTTATTCCTTTCCAGAGAAGCCCATCCAGCCCAGCGGATCCATTGTTTATGCGGCAGTGCAATGTTGCTGAAAAATGTAAGCCCTTAGGTATAGGTTAGGTAAAACTCCAAACAAAAAAGGGCCTTATTCTTCCATATATTAAATATAAGTTTTAGAAAGGGGCATCACTACCCCCTAAATTACAAGCTAGCGCACAACGGCTTTTCAGCCGTTGCTTTTTTTTTTGCAGGCTCAAAAATATATCTTTCGCCTCTCCTCCCTGTTCCCTTTTTGGTTGATTCGCTTCTTCCTTCGCGCAAGCCCTTGGTTCACCCCTTTTGTGTTGCATTTTTTGGTGATCCCCCACTTCAGTTTTCGTTTTTCAGATAGCCGGGATCCGACATTGATTTTATATTCATTTAAATGTCAGCTCCATGTTTTAGGCGACCCATCTGGTTAGTTAAGCTATCACATCTGGAAGCCCCTGTGATTGTTCGGCTGCGTACTCTTCATTTGCGTATCTCACACTCCCAAAGCATATTTTTTTCTTCATATTTATTCTGGTTGGCTTCATGCTGATAGATGTTTGCCGGGGGAGATTGGTGCTCCTGAGGTATGCCCTTCTAGTGGGTTGTTATATTTTCTGTCTATTCCATCCATTGCCCGCACTGCGTCATAAAATCTTCGTGTTCGATCTCTCTTTGCAATGTAATAAATAAATCTAATAGTTTCTCTCGTCATCTTTCTTTTAAGTCATTGATCTCATATCTATAAGTAAGGGGTATGTGTTAACTATTAAGCCTACGCCTGTCCATTCCTTTAAAGCTTTATCCCACCCGCCCTTAGACTTGTTATGCTTAATGCCCACTTACTTAAAGACTCGTTGGCTTTACGCTCTATTCAGTCGGAACCCGATTTGAGAACCTTCTCTCATATATTCCTTTCACCAAGTAATCGCCAACAATCAGCTCTTATCCATTGGTGTGGTTTCAAAGGTTGAGTTTCTTTCTCGTCTTGCCCAAAAACTTGCTATATTCTCATTAGATAAATACTCTCTCGTGGCAAGGTTTTACACATAGGGCTAGCTGCTTTCTTTATCTCGCTCACCGTTAGTCAGTCCATCGCCTTTCTTTCGGTTGGGGTCCATCCCGGGGCTTAGACCGCTTGGGTTCTATTTTTATCGAAGGAAGTCAATGTGTCAGCCATTGCTCTCCCATTAGACTTGTAAAATCCTTTTCTATTTTCTTTCTCTCCCTCTACTTTATTTGACAAGGGCGAATAATACCACTCTATCAATAATAAGAATACAATAGCAATTCAGTTTCAAATGGTTTGAGCTTGGAAGCAACCTATTATCTATAGGCTAAAATAGACTGCTATTGGCTGCTTCGCCTATCTATTCTATTATGGCTGGCTTGGAGACATCAGAGGAAGACCGTCATTTCTATTCAAGTACGATCATAGTTTCATTCATTCGTTAAACCTTGGGGTGGGGATAACCATTAGCATTGAGGTTAATCATCACACCACCCATATCCTATCATACAACATTACATGACGCGAGAGTGCATGTTCAACACACACCTACCTAAAGCGCCTACGTTTCGCTTGCAACCAATACAAGTACAACCTAACTTGCACGAGATTCAACAATCGAAACTATAGGTAGTCCCTAGGGGAAGACATCCTCCTATAATAGTTAGAAGTACTGAACAAGCGAGTCATAGTTCGGGTGAAAGAAAACGTCTTAAAAAAAATATAAAAAAGGACATCAATCTAATCCTTGAGAACTTTCTTGATGATTTAGAAATTGAGATACATTTGCGACAAGTAAGAAAGTGGGCCACCCGGGAACTGGAAGATAAAAATAGTTCCTTTTGGCTTATATAATAATATTTTTATAAATAACTAAACTGTAACTGGGCAGACCCTTTATCACTTCTAGTTCAATATGCATAGGACTATCCACGAAGCAGTGAAAAGACATATAATATTCCTATTGATTCTAAGGGAGAACGAAGGATGGAATGGAGGATGGAGGAGGATCGGTTGGAACACGGGCTAGCCGGCCAGGAGGTTCGATTCCTCCCCGATTCCTATTTATTCAATCCATTGTTCGTGCAATCTTAAGGTTCATAGTCCTTTAGCTCTTATTACAGTGGTTGATAGTGGCTTATGAAATTGGTACCCCTTTCTTTACTTTAAACAATGATTTACACAGGTTGAATGATACAAGCAGGAAGCAAACAATAGGAACAACCAGAGCGGGTGTAAATGCTCGTGAAGGAATGAGAGCTGAAGCAACAGGAATTGGTCAATGAGTAGGAAGACTTGGAAATTCTTTTGAAAAAGGTGGCTAACACTAATATGCCTATCCACTACTATGGCGGTCATCATCGCTATGGCATGCACTGTGGCATGTACTATGGTGCCTAGCCTATGTTGTTAGCTAACTACAGATCGATAGTGAGTTTCTGATGCTATGCAGTTACAGATGCTTATAATAGAGATTATGATCTTAGTTATCGAGAGTAAGATCCATAATTAACTTCAAGTAGGGATCCTAGTGCTAGTTATCGGGGTTCTTTCTTTCGTGATTATTAGGAAGAGTCAGATGCTAGTGATCTATATTTTTATGTTTGGGATCGAAAGATTCCGATGTTCGTAAGCGAGAACCAAATCCTCCACTAGCACCAACAATAACAAATAAACTACCACCTAGTCTTGACCATGTCATAACGGAATTTAAAGTTGAAGAAAAGTAATGGTTAAAGAACCTCGTCTCACATCTCTTCCTGGCCAAGGTGGGAAAAGAACAACTCCATCCAGTATCTTTCCATGTTCCGATATAGTAAAATACCCCACCCAGTAGAAGTGTGGATGGATCGGCATGGATATGGGAATGTCCCACCATCATATAGTCCAATTCCTTTCCAGTGCCATCATTCCAGTGTACGCATATCTAGGCACAATTCCAGTAGATGACCTTGTTGATCTAGGACCAGAGCCTGTTAACTAAGTAGCAGATATACCAATTCCTTTCCAGTGCCAGCATTCCAGTGTACGCATATCTAGGCATAATTCCAGTAGATGACCTTGTTGATCTGGGACCAGAGCCTGTTGACTAAGTAGCAGATAGACCCTCGGAGGGGACGCCAGCATCAGAGTTAGTAGAGAGAGCAGGTTCAGGAACATAACAAGCTCCATAGTCGGTTTTTAACCTAATAGTATGATGGCATAAACAATATCATAGGTTGGTTCCAGATCGAGCTATTAAATCACTTGACGGAATAAAACCGAAAATCTGGTAGAGGAAAAGGCAGGAGTCTATTTAGTAGACTTAGTTACGTATGTTTAGTAAAGAACAATCTCGTGAAGCTACGAGCTTCCCTATGTTTGGCGCGCATCCTTCCCTCCCCTCCTTTCTATCATTATAAGAAAAGAAAGGCATGAGATGGTTTTTAGTCCCAACTAACATATTGAGTAGCTTTTATAACCAACATCTAAGTAACTTCCAGAAATATAGTCACCATCAGTGTTAGATCCTCTAGGTGTAGGGGAAGCAAGCACCTAAATTGATTCCTATTCATTTCCAGCTCCTCTAGTTAAGAAAGGATCATCTCTTCCCAATAGATTGTATCTAGAGAGAGGACTTCTCTAGTGTGGATCGAAATGGTCTTGCAAAGTCGATCCTCAGATAGCCAACCAAAGACTCTCAGAAAAAGTAACCTTGACATGACCTCAGAATCAGAGATCAAGAGAGAACTAGTATAAAAAATGACTCGATCCCTAACTGACAGATTCAATAACGAGAGTTTCAGATTCATGAATCAAAAAATTCGTGACTATAGATAAGAATTCCGATATCCTAAACATCTTAGTCTGAGTATGTCAGGTATGTCTTTGCCCAGTGGATTGGAGAATCAATAGAGCTCGTGGTTGATCTTCCAAATCTCGATCTGCTTCTTCCCCTTTTTCATTGTATTAAACTAGACACTAGCCCATTATATGAGAACTTATCGATGGTTTAGCTACGGAGATCCTTCACCTTTCCCATTGGTATTTGCTCCAAGCTTGAACAAGGGCTTTCTCTTTGCTTGAGTGGCTAGAAGTGACAACAATCAAGGTTGGGCCTTTTATTGCTCTTATCTTGTCCCCTCGGGCTTATTATATTAAATTAAGGCAAGCGGTGGTTTTGTACCCCAAAATTTTCCCTCCCATCTTTGAGACAAATTGATTCAAGATACCTCCTCATGCTCATGAAGGTCTCAAACACTCAAGACTACTCAAGGGTTGACCATACAAACTCTCCTCCTAAGCAATTGACCTACAACTAGGGTTTTTCTTCTCTCAAAGGAAATTGAGTTTCTAATACCTCAAGTGGACTTAATGGTTTCTCATATGTCTCAAGGTATCCTCATGTCAAGTTTCAAGCCTTACATCACAAGTTTGCCCAGTCAATTAGCCAGATGATTGAAAATCAACTGTATTGGACAAAAGTCAAATTTGACCAATCTACAGTCAAACTTCAATATTTTTGGTCAACATCAACATTTTGAAGTCACATTCATCATTTGATCAAGTGTTAATCATGATTCATCAAGAAAACTCAAGATTAATCAAAAGTCAAAAGTTACTAAATTAGGGTTTTCTTAAGGAGAAGTAACCTGAACTTTGACCAAGCATAACTTTCACATACTTCATCAGAATGTCCTCAACCAAATCCTATATTGAAGTAAATTAAATTCTCTACAACTTTGTCTCTCTAAGCTCAAGACCAAAAAATGCTTCATTTGAGAGATATGAGCTAAAACTTTACAGGTCATTTTAAAAGTCAACAAAAAGACATCTTTTATCAAAGCAATTTACATCAAGTTAAATACTTCAAATGAAAAAATGACCAACATGAAAGTTGTAGGAGACATCTTTAGCTCTCCAAAGAATCCAAGACCATCTTCATATGAAAAAAATTGAGAGAGCTATGATTTGTGAAAGTTGAGTAATTTTAAGAAAATGCATGAAGTTCAAATTGAGAAACTTGAACTTTTGGGCTAATGGGCCTAAGTTTTTAGGCATGGGTTCGATCCCTACATTTTGCAATTGTTTTTTACTTTTTCAGGATTTCACATGGGTTTGTTACAAATGGATCAGTGGCTATTCTCAATCACCAACAACATTGTGGCGTAGTGGCTATTTGGACAGGATTCGATTGAACACCTAACTTCCACCAAGCTTGCTTCAAATTTCCAAGCTTCGATTGAAGCCTTGTCCTGTTGCTTGCTTGTTGCATACAAGCTTCGACTGGGCATGTATTTACTTGGAAACAGCTTCCTTCTATTCAGAAAGGAAGGGCTTCATGTTGGTGCTCCTTCGGCTGAACCTTTTGGCTTTACATGTTGGCTTGATTTACAATGCAATGGATACCTGCATGCAAGCTAAATTCATGTTTTGTTTCAACATTTGTTTTCTTTGGAGTAGGCTTGATTCCTGCTTTGACAAGGTAAATACTCCTTTTGTGCGTGCCTTCAGTGCACAAAGCAAGAAACCCCTACAAGTGTGTTTCAATTCACCAGCAAATGAATTCTTGCATGCCAGCTTCGTTCAAGGAAAAGGCCCCTTTCGACTTGCCTTCAGTTTACAAGGAAAAGGGCTTCTCCAGACTTGCCTTTAATTCACAAGGAAAAAGGTTCCCTCTTCATGCCTGCTTTCGTTTCACAAGCACAATATTGACACACCAATGGTGCCTTCAAAGGACATGCCATTGGTCCATTAGAAGGACAAATTTGTTGGAAACAAACCTTTTTAGAGGCTTGGTTCAAGTTGCTTGCTAGGCAAAAGATCATATGCTGCTCAGCCTAAGCCTCATGACAAAGGAGGCTTCGATGGGACAGAATGAAGTCTTCGTGTGGGTTATTCGAATCAAGCAGTTAAGGAAAATAGAGGGGCTCAATCAAAGAAACCCCAAGGGTGAGCCATTCAAAGGACACACCTTAGTGGCTCATTTGAAGAGTACACAAAAGGTTGTATAACACGGTGGGAGAGCTAACTTGGGTGCTTTGCGTTTTATCGCATTTGTTGCAGATTGCAAGAGTCGCTACCGACTTTTCTTTTATCCAAAAGGAAAGGTTGAAAAGAATAGGAAAGACCTTTCAATATTATTTCTTGAGTTAAGGGGGTAGGTTATGAAAAAGGGAAGGTATTAGCACCCTTTTTATCCGTAGTTATCTACGGGCTCTTAGTTGCTTGCTAGATCACTTGCTTTTTGTTTGAAGATGTGTTTGTGATATGGGTTTTGAAAGTATTTTGAAAAGGAGTGTCTTTGTAATAGTTCTCATCTCTATAAGAATGCGTACAAAGTGTTTTAACTTTTGAAAACGTTTCAAGGTGAAATTGTGGGTGTATAAAAATGTTTTTATTGTGAGCAAGCGAGCAACTAAGAGAAATCTACCTACTCAAAAGGTATTAAATGTTCTTTTCCTATTCCTTTAGATGTTGTTATCTCACCATTGTTTTGGTAAGAAACCCCATCGTTGGATGTGAAGGGACGGGCGCGGGACGTTTTGTATAGTTATAGAAGGCAACTTATGGGGCGTTTTAGCAATGTCGTTTAGGGATTATATTGTTTAGCGAAGGCAACATTGAAGGTCATCAAGGGACTACGATCTTTTATTGAGGATCTTTGCTAAAATGCCTATATTCGAGGTACATGACTATTTTCCGAAAGGCAACAAAGTGAGATTACCCTAGAGGTGCTAGTGTGCAAGTGTGTTTGATTTATATGAATTTAGTCTTTGACTAGGGTTATCTATTTATTGATTTTATCTTTCCATACATCCTAATTACTAACAATATATGAAAGCGAATAAAATGCGGAAAATAAATCCTAAGCTATTACATCATTTCAGGGATGGGGATACATATTTACAAATGGGGATTTACTAGAATTTAAATCCTAATTATCTATTACAACCATATTGAATTGTACAATACAAGAAAAGGAAAGGATTTGTTTTAAAAATGGTTTTTTTTGTCTTAATAAATTAAAAGGAAAATAATTAGTTAATAAAAGAAAATATTTTTTATGCCTTTTTTATATTAATAAAAATAATATTAATGTTGAAAATAATAAGAATAAGAAAGAAAAGGAAAAAATAACGAAAACAGGATTAACACGTTGCTAAAAACAAAATGAAAGGGACCAGAAGTTCTGATGCTAGGCATGCTGTAGTTTAGAAAGAAACATTAGAGGGGACCAAAAGTTCAGGGTTGCTGTGCACTGAAGTTCTGAAAGAAACATTAGAGGAAACCATAAGTTATGTGTGTGTTAAAACAATAAGAAAGCCTAGAAGTTTTGTGTGTGTTAAAACAATAAGAAAGCCTAGAAGTTCTGTGTGTTGTGTTACAACAATGAGAAAAGATTAGATGTTTTGTGTGTTGTGTTAAAACAGTAAGAAAGCCTAGAAGTTTTGTGTGTGTTAAAACAATAAGAAAGCCTAGAAGTTTTGTGTGTGTTAAAACAGTAAGAAAGCCTAGAAGTTCTGTGTGTTAAAACAGTAAGAAAGCCTAGAAGTTTTGTGTTGTGCTAAAATAGTGGGAAAGAAAACTCAGAAGTTATGTTTTACACTTCACCTCCTTCCTTACATTAGACATAACATCTTCAACTTATTCAGTTCTTAACAATAGAAAAATAGAAAAATAAAAGCACGACAGTTTATAGAAGTTCTAATCCTAATTATGAGCCTAGTTTTCTTCAGGAAGTTCTGATCCACAGTTTTTCTATTTAGGAAATGACATGGACAATATCAACAATATGATATTTACATGTTTAATGATGTTCTGAATGAAAAGTTTAAAGTCAGAATGACTTACCTTGAATTTGAAGCATACGTTTGAGACCTGAGATGCTGCCTTCGAATGTTCTGGGGTCAGCAAGAAACGGAACAGAAAAGGTTGTGTTCTTTGATTCAAAAGGGAAGAACAAAGGTATTGTTTTGGGAATTATGGGTTTAAGAATGTTTC